CTGATTTTGCATATATCCCATGAAATATTGGTACACGCCTTTCGGCCTCTGTATTGCTCGATCGGATAGAATTTTAATAATAAATATTGTATTTCTTATTCAAATGTCTATAAAAAAGTCAAAATGTTCTTGTCATATTTCCGGTATAATTATGCTAAGCCCTCTTCCAATGAAGTACCGACGCAAACCGAATTCATTACGCTCGTCCTAATCCAGAAACGTGTCAACTATCACTCTAAAGCAGTCAGTTGCTAATCCTCGTAGTGTTTGACATTGTAAAGATGCAGCCGATCTGTCAACTGGCCTTACAACTGACCTTTCAACTGATGTACCCTAACACTTTAATCGCAAGAGAACTGGTTTGTCACTTTCCGTAACACTAGAGAACGTGGCTTACCTCCTGGATGAAAACGGATTCGGGCGTGTGTCACGTGTAAAATATTACCCAAAAGAAAATGGCGGCTTTTCTAGTCGTATATTTAATCAAAGAGAGATTTCGGAGTCGGGTAGACTTTCAAAAGAACCTCTTTCAACCTATGTAAATTTGAATTGACACTCAATCTATAAAACGTGCTTAAAGAAGCGAACAGGAGACACGTGTTGTTGGATTGGTTGACTTACGCTTCCCTGTTGGTCGAAGGAAACGAATTAGGGAATTTTATTACAACCAAGAAGAATCTGACTACACTTTCAATAATTCAAAAAATCAATTTAGTATCCTTTCCTGATCATCGTTCAAACCCTGTGTTTCTCCGATCACAATGGACACTTTAATTCTCTATCAGGTTCCATGGTTTCAATGTCAATTGGATCTACTACAGAGATAACGGGAAACTCCTATATATAATCCATCGTTAAGGTCTCTGAGTTTTGGTTACAGAAAGGTCCGTAACACCTCCACATAAAGGTCAGATGTTACTGTAACCAAGTAGACTCTTTTCTCAAAAATTAAGACACCCATACACCAAATTTCTCAACTGAGCACTACATAGTCACTCGTTGTGTCCCGGATGTAACAGTAAAATTATCCATTTGTAAGATTAAGCTCTGAACCGTTGTATCTTAGTGTTGTGGTAGGATCCACCTAATTTGCACAGTGGAGTACCGACCATATAAATATGGTTGGTATCAGGAAAGAGGGTGGAATCAAGAGATTCAACCCGAGACTCTGCCCGACTGGTGACTCAGTCAACACATCTCCAGAAACGGTCTTACCAGGAATATACAAAAGACTATAGGTAAATATTGTGTACACTTTCTTGTTTCAATACATTTTGTTTTACGGGAATTCATGTTGACTTTAATATGTTTATGAATAGGCCTGACGATAGATAATCAATAGATAGATAGATAGATAGATAGATATGAACAGATTAAGAAAGCTTTGAACAGATTGAAGCACTTAGGAATGATTAAAGATTTCTTACTGGAATTCTTGGAGGTTTTTATATTATAGGACTCTACTTTGATCAATAAGAATGTATTTAGATCTAAGTCGAAATGATGACCCCTCTTGCTGTTGTGACCTCCTGATCCAATTTTCCTCTATATTGTTCCCTCTTTTTTAAAAACTTATTCACCTTGATGGTTCTTGAATGGACTTTAAAGATGAAAGCCAGTGGTTAAACCTATGCTTGCTTTTTACTTTGATGTCTGCAAACAAGGATTCAGTCATTTCCTATATACTCATTTGCTAAGAGAGTCTCACTTCGAAAGCTTCCCAAGAATCGCTATTTTGGGAAAAGAATCCAGTGTGGATACATCCTCGAACATTACAGTCTTAACATCTTCATGTCTAGGGTAACTCGTGTAGGAGATTACACAACATTACAATGTTGATACCATTATTGAAGTGCTGAATAATCTTTTTCCTCTCACCAATGCTCAGTTGGGAAGAAATACTAGGGTTGACACAAAACGATTTTAAACTATTCTTTTTCTATCTGAATAACTCAAAGAGTTTTTCAGTGATTCTTACGGCAAATAGTGTCAAGTTGGTTAAACGTCTTATCCGAAAACGGGGAAAAAAGAAACTTTTTAGATGTTAAACAATTTGTGGGATAGACAATTATGCCATGATGTTACAAGATTTGAACAATTTTGCTTTTACACCCGGTAGATGTCTTTCATACTCAGAACGCCACAGTTACTTGATGTGTAGAGAACTTTTTATGAAGCTGTCTAGGATTATTTAACGCCCAGTAGCAAAACTTTTCTGTATGAGATGAAAGTGAACTTCATCACTTGTGATAAGAACAATATTTCCAGGAACATTTTGAAGGATATCGTTACAGCATGCCATGCGATTTTGCCACATGCGTTCTTACAATTCTTGAACAACTATCAGTTTGGAACTTCCACTTGGTGTGTAAAATTCTTCGAACTGTTCGATCAGACAATCCCAAAGCAGAAGCATGTTTCCCGGCTAAAAGTGTAGGAGATTACACAACAGACATTCTCATTGGACATTTTCTAGAGTTCGAGAGTTTCGCGGTCTTCCATATGGCTTCCATTTAAGCGCTTAATCTGTGGTCCTGTCAACCCAGAGCAGTATCGGTTTTCTATCCGGAACGGCATCATTCCGACGTAACAAGAAATGAACGCGAAAATCTTTCTGTGTTGCAATTACAGATTCAGCAGTCTTAAAAACGTGTGCACCGATCAAAACCATGATGGTAACTGATGATATCTGAAAAGAAATCGTAGGGCATTAGCTAGATGAAGACACCATTACCACTTGTCTAAGTTCACTAGCATCACACACGTGACAGTTTAAAATATGGGAGGTATTTTTGCCTCTTTCTGGATATGACTCTTGCTAGAACGTGTTATCTTTACGAGAGTCAGATAAGGCTAAAACATAGAATACTGATGTCATATCCGGGCTGTTCAATCCTAACTCTCTAGTCTTGATAGACTTTAAAATCGTTCATAGTCTTGTGGTGGGTGTAGATTCGTACCTACTTCCCACAGATGCAACGTTTTAAGCCCGGTCCTTTGTTGAAGTTGCTAGATCTAACCATAAATTTTATGTTAATAGTTTCTTAGGTCATTCTCAGTTGAGGAAATCTCTTCGAGTGTTTGTTTTCATGTCAACTACGATCTTCGCCGATTTAAATGCAACGTCAATCGTCAATAACATTACGGTTTCCATGGCAAATATTCAGATGATCTTCTTTCTCATGTCCCTCCAATTCAGACCTATACTGAAAAGATGCACAATGCTTCTTTCACGGAATTGAATCACTCTTTTCTCCTCCGTGTTTCAAAATGAAAGAAGGCGGTTCAAGTCTGACAACCATTTCGCAAGAACTGACACTTTACGTGCATCCCTCCCTTAATATTTTAATCTGTACCCCTTCAAATTAAGGGTCAATCTATCTTCCTTGTTATAATATGCCCTTCCTGACACGTTTTCTGCCACCATGCCCAATATTTAACATTGCAACTGTAACAATATTCTTTAATTGACCCTAGTAACTCGTAGGAGATTACACAATTATAATCATTATAATCTTCAAGTTCGATTTCTAACTCTTACGTTCATTGTATACAGCATTTAGTAAGCTTCTACCTTGAGAGCCTCTTGGGTCTTGTATTGATTGAACATTTGTAAATAAAACAAACAAAAAACGAGCATGTAATAATGGCAATGCTCAGTTTACAGAATACATCAGATTTTAAGAATTCATCAAGAAATACGTCTACTAATTTTATTGCAATGGAGAGACGCTGCAACAGTACAGTTCCCCAGGAAGCAAACTTTTTTTGATTTGTTTTCGGTCGCTAATGCTCAGAATTCACTAGAAAAATGCCAGATCACCTACTGTGTTCTGTTTCTTTGTTAAACAAAACGACTCCTCTCTTGTTTGGCACGATAATTGCTGGAGAAATAGCGGATAAATACGTTCTCAGCTAAAGCTTTCTACTTTAGAATCAACAGCTAAAAGCTGTTACCCCAGCTATCAACCTTGACAGGAATCAATCACACCGTAATAGTATTGTGGTCTTTGATTGCAATTGCAAAGTTGTTTTTCCTTTTACTTTATGCGTAAATATTGGACTCTGGAGAAGCATGATCTTTTCTTCTTGTCATTAGTTGTTCTTTGTTCCCCTTTGCTAAAAGCGAACATAAAACTCTCTTTAATGGCGGCCATCTGTCGTCGCAGGTGCTGCATGCTTAATTGGCGCCAAAAGGTAAAGCGCGGGCTTTTGTGGTTGTTCACGGCTTTGGCTATCAAATTTGTTTAAAGTGTCGATCGATAAAGAAGTAGTAAGATAAACATGGTGGAGGTAATAGTGAGTGGTGGTGTTGAATAACGCTTGAAAGAGATGTCGAGAACGACGAAACAATAACACAGCAAGGAGAAAAAAAACGAACAAACGAAAGAAAGAAAGAAAGAAAGAAAGAAAGAAAGAAAGAAAGAAAGAACAGGATAGTTTTAAGGGAAAAGGTAAGCAAAGAAGTTTGATAAAAATAGAAGAAATTAATGAAGAGAAAGAAATAATTTGAAAAAGTGAATGGCAAAAACGCCATGGATCTTGTGTGGTCGAACTCATAACAGATTAATGTAAAAAAGAAAGATAGAAGGAAAAGTCAGAGGAAAGACGAAAGGTAAAAATAAAATGGATACCGAAGGAAGGAAGGAAGGAAGGAAGGAAGGAAAAGAAAAAAAAGGGGGAATGGAAAGAAAGCAATAAAACTAAAGAAAGAAGGTGAGTAAAAAGTAGGAATCAAACTATGAAGGAAGTAAGAAACAAAGAGAAAGAAAAAGAAAGAAAGAGCAAGGGAAAGAAAATAATGGCGGTAGAAATGTGAATAAATAATTAAATAATATAGCAAAGCAATTTTCGATGTAAGGATGCTGAAAAAAAGAATGGAAAGAGAAAAAAATTAAGTAAACAGTGTAGAAATCTGAAGAAAGATAGAACAATGAGAAGATGGAACAAGAAAAAAAGAAAGAAAGAGCAAAGAAAAGCATGTAAAAACGGTAGGAAGCTGCAAAAAGAAAGAAAGAACAATGAGAAGCAAGTAGAAGAATGTAGTAAGATGGAAAGAGAAAGAAAGAAAAAGAAAGAAATAGCAAAGAAAAGCATGTAAAGACCGCATGTACCTGCAGAAAGAAAGAAAGAAAGAAAGAAAGAAAGAAAGAAAGAACAATGAGAAGCAAGTAGAAGAATGTAGAAACATGGAAAAAGAAAGAGAAAGAAAGAAAAGAAAAAAACGCAAAGAAAAGCATATAAAGACGGTATGAAACCGCAGAAAGAAAGAAAGAAAAAAAGAAAGAGCAAAGAAAAGCATGTAAAGATGGTATGAACTGCCGAAAGAAAGAAAGAAAGAAAGAAAGAATGAAAGAAAGAAAGAATAATAAAGAACAATGAGAAGTAAATAAAAGTTATAAGATGAAAAAAGAAAGAAAAAGATAGAAAGAAAAAGCAAAGCAAAGCATGTAAAAATGATAGGAATCTGACGAAAGAAAGAAATAGCAAGTAAAGAATATAGGAATCGGATGTGAGAACAAAAAAGAGAAAACAATAAAGAAAGGAAAGCAACGCAAAAAAAAAAATGAACGAGGAGAAGCAAGAATGGAGTAATCTGTAGAAAGAAAAAAAGAACCGAATGAAGCAATGATTATTTAAAGACACCAACATGAATAAAAGTGGATAACAAATGGAAGAATAATAATAAAAAATCAGCAACAAGAAAAAAACGAAAGAGAAATCATTCAAACAATAAAATAAAGTAATAAGAACGAATGTAATTATAGAAAGCGAAAACCGGCAAAACATTAAAAAGTTTAGTACATTAATATTCAACAGGGAATAAGTAATCTGAGAGGCGGGAAAGAATCGGAGTGTGTTGAATGGTAACAACAGCACGAATCTTGTGTGGAAGAAGTAATCAAGGATAGACTCAAAGAAGAAAGAGTGAAAGAAAAGACCAAGGAACAACAGGAGAACAAAAAACGAATGAAGGAGAAAAAGGATTCTAGAAAAGCCGGAAAGCAATAAAAAAAAGAAGTAAAAAAGAAAAAAGACGAACAATGTCAATAAAACGAAAGTGAGAAGGTGAGAGATAAAAAAGACGAAATCTAGAAAGAAGAAAGGGCGAAAGGCAAAGCGTAAAAGAAACAAAGAAAGAAAGAAAAGGAAAAAGGAAAATAAAACAGATGAGTAAATATCAATGAAAAAAAAATAATGAAGATTGGGAAAGAAAAAAGAAAAGAAGAAAGAAGAAAGAACGCAAAGTTAAAGAAATAAAAAAAGAAAAAAATAAACGGGAAAAATAAACAATTTAAAAACGTGGAGAAAGAACGGAAGAGACAAGGAAAAGCACGTGAAGACAGTGGAAAAGAAAAATAAGTTAGGAAGATGAAAGAGAAGGAAGGAATATGAAAGCTGATGGACGGAAAAAAAGGAAGGAGAGCAAATAAAAGAAAAATAATTTAAAGAATGTAGGGAACTGAAGAAAGAAAGAAATAAAGATAGAAAATAGGAAAAGAATTTAAAGAAACTGAAGAAAGAAAGTAAAAGGATAGAAAGAAAATAGAAAGAAAGAAAGAAAGAAAGTCAGAAAGAAAAACAGACAAAGAAAGAAAGAAAGAAAAGAAAGACAGAAAGAAAAAAGCAGACAAACAAAGAAAATGAAGTAACGAAGGCCAAAAGCTGAAGGAAAGTGAAATTTGACGAAGGAAGGGAAAGAAACGGTGAAGAAGGATGGAAGGAATAACGGAATTTGAAAGAGGAGGGAAGTAGGGAAGGAAGGAGGGAAGGAAAGCAGAGAGGAAGGAGGGAAGGAAGGAAGAAAGGAAGGGGGGAAGGAAGGAAGGAAGGAAGAGAGGAAGGAGGGAAGGAAGGAAGGAAGAGAGGAAGGAGGGAAGGAAGGAAGGAAAGAAAGAAGGAAGAGAGGAAGGAAGAAAAGTAAGTGAAATCTGAAAAAGAGGAAGAAGGGAAGCAAAGAAGGAAGGAAGAGAGGAAGGAAGGAAAGAATGAAAGAGGGAAGGAAGAGAGGAAGGAAGGAAGGAAGTGGGAAAGAAGAATGTATGACAAATCTATAAAAGGCGAAGGAAGGAAGGAAAGAGGGAAGGAACAGAGGAAGGAAGGAAAGAAGGAAGCATGGAAAGAGTGAAGGAAGCGAGGACGGAAAGAAGGAAGGAAGGAAGGAATGAAAGAGGGAAGGAAGTGATGAAGGAAGGAAGGAAGAGGGAAAGAAGGAAAGTAAGTGAAATCTGAAAAAGTGGAAAAAGGGAACGAAGGAAGGAAGAGGGAAAGACGGAAAGTAAGTGAAATCTGAAAAAGTGGAAGGAAGGAAGGAAAGAAGGAAGGAAGGATAGAGGGAAGGAAGGAAGAGGGAAAAAGGAAAGTAAGTGAAATCTGAAAGAGAGGAAGGAGGGAATGAAGGAAGGAAGGAAGGACGGAAGGAAGGAAGGAAGGAAAGAAGAGGGAAAGAAGGAAAGTAAGTGAAATCAGAAAAAGAGGAAGGAGGGAAGGAAGGAAAGACGTAAGGAAGAGAGGAAGGAAGGAAGGAAGGAAGGAAGGAAGAAAGGAAGGAAGGAAGAGGGAAAGAAGTAAACTAAGTGAAATCAGAAAAAGAGGAAGGAGGGAAGGAAGGAAAGACGTAAGGAAGAGAGGAAGGAAGGAAGGAAGGAAGGAAGGAAGGAAGAAAGGAAAGAAGGAAGAGGGAAAGAAGTAAACTAAGTGAAATCTGAAAAAGAAGAACGAAGGAAGGAAGGAAAGAGGGAAGGAAGAGTGGAAGGAAGGAAGGAAGGAAGGAAGGAAGGAAGGAAGGAAGGAAGGAAGGCAGAAAAAGAGGAAGGAATGAAAGTAGAAAGGAGGGAGGGAAGGAATGAAGGAAAGTAAGTGAAATCTGAAAAAAGTACGGAAGGAAGAACGGAATTTAAAAGCGGAAGGAACGTGGGAAAGGAAAGAAGGAACGAAGGAAAATAAAATCTGAAGAAGTAGGGAAGTTGGAACCGGAAGGAAAGGAGGAAGGGAATTAAAAGCTGAAGGAGGAAGGGCGGAAGTTGAGAGCTGAAGCGACGTAAGAACGAACGAAGGAATGAACGAAGTTCACCTTCATTCGTTCTTTCGTTCCTGAAGGAAGGAAACGAGGAAGGAAGAAAAAGAAATCAGTGCAAAACGAAAGAAAGAACATGTCAAATTATTTGAAGAATCTAAGAAGTTCAAAAACGAATGAAAGAAAGAAAGACAAAAAAGAACAACGGAAAAAAGGTAAAGCATTTAAAGTACGGCTGAAGTTGAAGAAAGAAAGAATGAAAGAAAGAAAAAAGAACAAGATAAGGAAAGCAAAACGGAAAAAAGAAAAGATAGTCAATGAAACGAATGAGGAGGAAAGATTTTAGGAAAGTTTGAAATCGAAAATGGAATCCTTGCTGAAGATTAGAATTAGACACGACAAAATAAAAGAATAAAAAATTGATTTTGTCGGGGGAAAAGGTCGGAAAATGATAACAAAACAAGATACAAACAAAGGAATCTTTGAAAAGAAATAAACAGTTGGGGCGAGGTTTTCCCTTAAATGTATTTCAATACCAACAAGTAACCTCTATTGCTCCAAGAAATGTCACGAAGGACACAGAATGGTACCTCGACGAGGTCAGGTGTCACCAAACTACGACCCGTGGACGGCATCCGGCTCGCCACAAGATCTCCATTCTTTCATTGGAACATTTATTTATTCTGATTTATACCATACTGGTTTCGAGAAAAAAAAATCAGTCCTCTCCACAAACTAATGTAAGTTAGACTCATTTATTTGTGAAAAAGAGATCAAAACTTTTATAAATTCCGACAATTTTAGGAAAATTTATGACAAAGTAGAAAAAAATCGTGTGACGTGTTAGGACTTCATCTAACTAAAATGATATTGATGAGACTACGCATGCATACGAAGGAGAAGGAACACTGATATGTTAAACGTTTTCAATTTAATTTAAAAAAAAGAATGTTTTGGTATATATAGGATGCCCAGTAAAAAAGCCGTAAATTTAGAAAGAGACGTGAGGCAACCGTTGAAAACTAGTAACGATTGATGTGACTGAAAAATTCAGGAATAATTTCGGCAGATTTCATCAATACCTACGTTGGCTGTTTTTTGAAAAGTACGACAACTTGATGCTCAAAATCAGTGAATTGTTTAGCCATATTTAAAGAGCAGAACGAAAGACGAAAATTGTCTTCAAATAACATTTTAATCACGAGTCACAAGATAGAGCAACAATTAATCAATCATAAAAGAACCAATGAAAATTAAGGAATTACGCGAAAGTCGAAAGATTATTCAAGGTCATAAATATTCAAGGAATTTATTCAAGGTTATTCAAGGTCATTCAAGGTCAATTATTCCAGAAAGATAAAACAATGATAATAAATTTTCCGCTTTTTTTTTACCGGGCACTCTGTACTATAGCCGATTTCATTTAGTTTTTTTTGTATATGTTTATATCATTTTTGTTATTAAGGATCTCACATTGAAGGTCTAACAAGAATGGTGAAACGTTATAAAAACCGGAACTTAACTTTACTGAGGATGATCTAGCGATTAAAGCACTTTCTATACATGTTATATAGGAATAAAGAGTCGCTACCGACACTTGAGTCTGAACATAGATCGCTAGTAAGCAAACACAGGCGATCCTATTATTGGATTAAGTAGACGACGTGACCATTGAGGAAACGCATATATGTAGGAGGTAGCTGACGACTAAAAATCCTCATTTCTAGTCTATCCTCTATTACCACAGGGACCGCTATTCTTTATTCACAATACTATTTCTCTATTCGAATCACTATACGGATTACTATAGCGAGCGAGTATTATCAAGCCAGTACTATTAGCGCGAGTGTTATTCGAAGGCGTCTGACACCAGTATTGTTCAACGGAGTACTATTGTTGTATCTGCGATTGCAAAGGCCCAACTACAGCTAGCATTACAAAATTGACAACGAGTCTTCGTTGACATCACAAAAATGGCAACGTGTGTTGGTTGAGGAACAAAAATACACTTTTGTCCCTGTAAATTTCATTCAGTTTCAATTCGAGCAGCACTATCTCTTTAATCTGATGGAGACTCAAAGGATGAAAATCGACATACGAAAAATGTTTACACTTTGTCATAGATCCATTTATTTATGAAGATTTGTCTTTAGTCGATGAAAATGCGTTAAATTAGACGATGTGACACAGAGACTGAAAGATTTTATAATTGCGATCTGAGAATGTTCTTCAGGGGACTGGGCATTATCATCAAGCTTCGTGGACCTACTCGATAGAATAGAATTGGTAACTGCAAAAACTCATCCAGAGTTGCAGAGTTTGTACAGCAATCCCTATGCTACATCGTGTCAACTTTCTTCAAGATATCTAAGTCGGTCATTTCGTGATTAAATTATTATCAAGTGTTCACTGTATAATGACAGTTAAGGCATCAGCAGTGAAATCTATACTGTTTGCATCTCAGATCTACAACATTCTATTCATGCGAATAGCTCATCAGGTTACGCTAGGTTAGTTTAGCTAAGGACACATCAACGCTTGTTAGTTTATTTAATGACACATGAATTTTAGGAGACAACATTCACAATGAATTGATAAATAAGAAGGCATAGGTTTGTTTGAGCCTGGAGTCAAAAAGGTACACTAGAATCCCAAAAGATAGACTTAGGTAAAGTTTTCACTAGAATCCCAAAAGATAGACTTAGGTTAAGTTTTCACTAGAATCCCAAAAGATAGACTTAGGCTCGATTTACACTAGAATCCCAAACGATAGACGTAGGCTCGGTTTGCGCTAGAATCCCAAAAGATAGACGTAACCTCAGTTTACAATATAATCCCAAAAGATAGACAGGCTCGGTTTGCACTAGAATCCCAAAAGATAGACGTAAGCTCGTTTTACACTAGAATCCCAAAAGATTGGCGTAGGCTCGGTTTACACTAGAATCCCAAAAGATAGACGTAACCTCGGTTTACATTAGAATCCCAAAAGATAGACAGGCTCGGTTTGCACTATAATCCCAAAAGATAGACGTAAGCTCGTTTTACACTAGAATCCCAAAAGATTGGCGTAGGCTCGGTTTACACTATAATCCCAAAAGATAGACGTAAGCTCGGTTTACACTAGAATCCTAAAAGATTGGCGTAGGCTCGGTTTACACTAGAATCCCAAAACATAGACGTAACCTCGGTTTACGTTAGAATTCAAAAGATAGACAGGCTCGGTTTGCACTATAATCCCAAAAAGATAGACGTAAGCTCGTTTTACACTAGAATCCCAAAAAAGATTGGCGTAGGCTCGGTTTACACTAGAATCCCAAAACATAGACGTAACCTCGGTTTACGTTAGAATTCCAAAAGATAGACAGGCTCGGTTTGCACTATAATCCCAAAAGATAGACGTAAGCTCGTTTTACACTAGAATCCCAAAAGATTGGCGTAGGCTCGGTTTACACTAGAATCCCAAAACATAGACGTAACCTCGGTTTACGTGAGAATTCCAAAAGATAGACAGGCTCGGTTTGCACTATAATCCCAAAAGATAGACGTAAGCTCGGTTTACACTAGAATCCCAAAAGATAGACTCAGGCTGGGTTTACACTAGAATCCCAAAAGATAGGCGTAGGCTCGGTTTACACTAGAATCCCAAAAGATAGACCCAGGCTCGGTTTACACTAGAATCTCAAAAGATAGACCTAGGCACGGTTTACACTAGAATCTCAATAGTTAGGCCCAGATGACACTATAATCCCTTGCTGATGAGAAGTAACGAATTCATACCTTTACCTTAGAAGAACAGTGTGGAAATAAACGCATCAGACTAGACAACAATTTGAACCGGATTCGCTGAGTTCGCTTTTCCCGCCGATTCGTGTTACATTTTCCGCACGCAAACGCATGCTTTAGTAATAATAGTTAGAAGAAGAAGAATGTTGTTTTGCACAAAATTCGATAAACCTTGAAAACTGTGCACACTTTTATTTTTGATGAACTTGATCTATTCTATGCTTATTAAATTACTATTTCTCTCTCAATCTCATGTGCACAGACGCCCAGCGCACATCAGTTCGGTTCTAAACATTTTTTTTAGCAGGAAAATATCAATAAATTAGTGCATTGAGTTATTTGATTAAGGAAGGCCTGTGTCATATTGTAGTTTTCTTTTCTTTATCACTGCGTATTTATTCACATCTGTTTCCGTTTTTTACTTTGCTTCCTTCCTTTACAATCTTCCCTTAAAAAACAGCATTATTCTTTATTTCCTTCCTTTATAAATACATTCTCTTTTTTTGGATGGAATTCTTTCTTTCTTTCTTTCTTTCTTTCTTTTAGTTTTCCTTATGAGGAAATAAATTTCTCCTCTTTCTTTCTTTCTTTCTTTCTTTCTTTCTTTCTTTCTTTCTTTCATGAGTAAATAAATCTCTATGAGTATGTAAATAAATCTTTCTTTCTTTATGTACATACCATTCTTTCTTTCTTTCTTTCTTTCTTTCTTTTCTTCTGAGGAAATAAATCTCTATTTCGTTCGTTCTTTCTCTCTTCATTCTTTCTTTCTTTTTCCCTCCCTACTTCTTTCATTTTCATTCATTCATTCATTCATTCTTTTTTCTTTCTTTCTTTCTTTCTTTCTTTTAGCTTTCCTTATGAGGAAATAAAATTCTCCTTTCTTTCTTTCTTTCTTTCTTTCTTTCTTTCTTTCTTATTCTTTCTTTATTCTTTCATGAGTAAATAAATCTCTATGAGTAAATAAATAAATTTTTCTTTCTTTATGTACATACCATTCTTTTCTTTCTTTCTTTCTTTCTTTCTTTCTTTCTTTCTTTCTTTCTTTCTTTTAGTTTTCCTTATGAGGAAATAAATTTCTCCTCTTTCTTTCTTTCTTTCTTTCTTTCTTTCTTTCTTTCTTTCATGAGTAAATAAATCTCTATGAGTAAGTAAATAAATCTTTCTTTCTTTATGTACATACCATTCTTTCTTTCTTTCTTTCTTTCTTTCTTTCTTTTTTTCTTTCTTTCTTTCTTTCTTTCTTTTCTTCTGAGGAAATAAATCTCTATTTCGTTCGTTCTTTCTCTCTTCATTCTTTCTTTCTTTTTTCCACTCCCTACTTCTTTCATTCATTCATTCATTCATTCTTTCTTTCT